TATTTATACATAGTTATTTTTGTAAAGAAAGAGAGATATTTCCCGCCACAATATTCTTAACGTATCGGATATTCTATAGCCCAAAGCTGGAAGAAACACTTTCAACTATACGGCAGAATATAGTTATTCAAAAAAGACAAAATTATTAAAGATACCTAAAGATATTTTCTTAAGTAAATCAAAATACTATGAAACTATCACCAAGAACCAGATACAGACTACACAGATTATTATAATTCAGAGACTGCAGGCTGAGTTTTTCGCTGCGCTTTTTTAATCTGCACTCTCTGTTTTTCTTTACTGATAGCCTAGCGTTGTCAGGTATGTCGCAATTTACGAAAGCCAACGTAAAAGCTATTCAACGTAGCTATTAAAATTTGACAAAAAAAAATCACACTGAGAAAAACGTATTGTGGTGCATGACTTTGTCACTGTCAAAATACTAAAATACGCTAGCATTTTCAATCTGTGATATCTTTACTTAGTATAAAAGTCAGAAACAGAAATATCTGGGGTACAATAGTGCCTCGCCGAGACGAGCATTGCAATTTATATAAAGAAACTACATAAGACATCTTCTTTTTAATTTTTTTTTATTTATTTAAAGCCGTGATTTTCAACACATTCTGTATCTGTATTATAGAGAACATAGAGTTACAACTCTATAGAGCTGCCTACCAAATTAAATTAAAAACTTGGTCTTCAACGTTTGAATTGCTGAATTTTAAGTGTATGTTATTTTAAAAAATAGATTTAAGTCCATATACGCTACAGAATAATCTTTCTAACTTTATTAATAAGACTATATATCTACATAAAGCTAAACGAGTCGCATCGTAACATTCGACGTTCATTATTATTCAGTGAGGTTGCTGAGTATTCGCCGGTCGACTTTACGAGTCCATCGTGGCGAGTAGACGCCGCGCTGCCGCTGCGGATGTCCAATGCAAAACTTTTTCAATTAAAAACGCCTTAATTAATCCGTTCGTAAATGGTAGTATTGTGCGTTCTGTAGACATTTATTACTTTTGAAAATATCAAAAAGCATAGGTTTTGTATTTTATGGGATAAACAAGCGCACATACATTTGGGATATCTTTACGTAAATTAAAAAGGAATTTTTTTCAGACTTAAATAACAAGAAAATACAAAGATATGTGTGAAGTTAACCTCGCACTTGGTCAGATTGGTTGACAATAGTTTAATCACCCTTAACTTAAGGTAGGCTCTGAGCTCCTCGGTGGGGACGTATAGTGAGCTGATGATGATCTAGAAAGTAGGCAGTATAAGATTTCGGCGGAATTCATTATATTTTTGTGTAGAGAAATTCATGAAAGGTATTCAGCATCGATAGTTCCAACAACATACTACAGTTAAAAATGTTTTTAAAAATTAAATCCAACAAAATGCTGGTACGAAATATTAACAAATGTATTCATGAATTAATAAATGTATAATTTATCTTCACAGTAGAACTTTTATGACATGATACTATTGCCTTTATTTGGTCTAAAAACCCTTGATATACAGGATGGTTAAAAGTATTAAATAAGCAAAAAATGCTTGAAAAAATCTAAAAAAAAAGGAAAAATCGATTTTGTTTACATAAATTAGTTATGTAATAGCATCTATTAAAAGGTCATTCTATTTTTGACTGATGAAAATAAAAAAAAACTTGATCTCAAAGTTGAAATACACATTTTCACAATAGTTCACGTTTTATTTCAACGAGGAGTGAGAAACCCTAAACGGGTCGTTGTTTAAACTTTTCAGTTACTTGCAGAGTGACGTCAATTTAAAAGTTTTCCCTTCGGTTCAAGGAATCTTTTCTAAAGATAAAACTGTTCTAAATTCAATTACGTTTTAGAAACATTGCGCAGCAAATGCACAATTTTAATATAGAAAAAATGCATTTTTTTTGTCTTTTTTACACAAGACTAATATTTTTATTAGTGTTTTATAAATTTAGTAAAAAAAAATTTACGGATACCGGTGGTTGATGACAATTTTTTTTTATAGTCGTAGTAATATGTGAAATCTTATAAAAGAGAAATGTCCAACTTATTGCTATGACTTACCAGGTTTAGTTACAGGTGTTTTGAGATCGTTGTTCGCGAGCTGAGGATTCTCTTGCACCTAAAATTAAATTAAGAAAAAAAACTGAAAAATCATCTCAAAAAAATACACGTAAGTATTAATTTGATATTCACACTCATTATAGATATTTTCTAGTTAAATTTGAATTTAGATTAATGAAGACTTCTTAAATCACCATAAAACGAAATCAAATGTCTCTCCTCTGTCTTGCGAAAAATATTACAATTTTTCAACTACAGGATGATCGAATTATTAAAAAAATTAAACAAAAGTTTTAAAAAGTTACCGATATTCATGACATTTTATACACAATATTTCTTTGCAAAATATAAAACATATTTAATATTCTCGTAAACTATAAAAGTCTTTCTTCCATTGAACATTCTTCGTCGCGCCGCAGTCGAGAAGTGAACTTTTACAACAATAGAAATTGTCCATTTCAAGATATTCTTTGCAAACGAAATAATACTCATTCTAAAAAATATTAAAGATGCAAAAATATTATTTGCAACTCGAAACTATAATCTAGAATACTTTAGAATGTCTGCAACAGCTTCTATATCTCAAGTTTTTTTTTTTTTGATAAGCCAGCGCTTGACCACGATCCCACCTGGTGTTAGTGGAGATTTGGTCGAAAGAAGTTTGACATAAAATGAAGATAGGTCTTAATACAATACAATACTTTTGCAAAAAAAAAGTCAAAATTGTAAAAAAAAATTTTGCAAAATATTAAATTAACCATGACAGACATATTTAAGACTACTTTTATTATATTTCCTACAAGAATAAACAAAACGCCTAGAAAAAACAAAGGAACAAAGTTAAAATTTGTTAAAAAAATCTTACCTTATTAGTATAGGGGTTGAAGATGAACTTGTTATCGAGCTCTTTCCTCGGCGTGGCCGCTATCACAGACAATGGGGTAGGCAGTGACTTCATTTCCTATCAAACAAATATTTGTTTCCTATTTGTATTTGGATAGTGTAGGTACTACAATTTTTTGGTAATATGGCTTGTGTAAACTAGCAAATTACGGTGTTTTAAGGAAACTCGCGAAACTTTCTACTTTATCATAATTTGTAAAGTATAACAAAAACAAATAAATTAAAAATTGTACAATACATGGTGTTAGAAAAACGAAAAAAAATAATGAAATTAAATCTGCTATTTTTTTTTTGCCAAAAAATATTTTTTTAAAACAATTACTGTGCTAAAGCACAAATCTGAAAAAGTAATAGTTTTCAGTGAAGTGTATCACGAAACTTTAAACAATGTGGAATAGTATATGGGTATCTTCTTTCTCCCTGATTACTTTGCACCAATATCGTGATCAACTAACCTGTAATATAAAATAGTATGTAAAATAAATCTTACCTTTAAAATACTTTCTATTGGCAATTGACTGCTATCGATACTTGAACTCTGCAAAAGAAATAAGTTTTTTTTAATAAAATACTTTGTTTCATTCCAATTCAAAAACAAAATGACCTAAAAATAATCTTCTATATATTTAATATCAAGAATAACTTATTTATTTCTCAAATATAATTTAAAAAGATTTGAAGCTATTATAAGTTTGATTACATAACTTCAAACTTTGTAAGATCAAATCAAATACGATTTCAAATATACATAGATTAACTATAAAACAGAGACAACATAATATAATTCATCCTCTATAGATTGACTTGAACAATGGGGCTACATGTACGGTATGTCAATAGAAGTTGAGTTTATTGGAATGTCGTATATTTGTATGTGTATTTATGTAAGGCGAGGCTCACCGGTGGTTGGAAGCCATTGGATATCCGCAGCGGGGGTGGGCGGTGAGCGGGCGCGCCCGTGGAACTCAGGCTTTCACTCTGTAACAAGATACACCCTGTACAACACCTATGAGCATACCGTAACTGGAATTAGGACTATGGATCTTATTTGTAGCTCTGTCAGCTATAACATATACAAGATGATTTAATTACTTGTTTTCCTATCCTTATCTAGCTAGAATGATTAGTCCCAGATGAGTTGACTAGCTACGAGCCATCTTAATCTTAAAGAAGTTTATAGAAAAGGCAAGAACATTTAAAGTATTGTTGCTTCTATAGTTTTATTTAAAGAACGATTTAAAACCAGAATTTTTAGTTTTAATGTTAAAAAAAAACAAAGAACCCTCTGCCTGCCTTACAAATGACCTGTGTTATACGAGACAATATCTTGCTACCACATCGTAAAGTTAACCTTATGAAAGGCAATTTTTATTGAGAACGTTAAATATGTTTATTGTGGTGTGAGTTGCAAATATTAAACCATGAACTATGCTCTGCTATATTGTTATTGTGAAAGCAATATGAAGAACATTTATGAATTTATTATGGATACAAACACAACCAATTTAGCTGCATATTTTGAGTTCCTTTTTTTAACATTGATTTATCAGATATACTAGCTATTGCCTGCGACTCCTTCACACATAATTAAAAAAAAAACTTGTTAGCCAATGTGTTCCAGACTATGTTTTACATCTATGCCATATTTAGCGAGATCTATGCAACAGTTCTGGAGATACCTTTTAAGAAAGAGACGTTCGCATTTACAATATTAGTAAGATTAGACCCCTCAATAGACATGTAAAAGTAAAATAACGAACCAAAAAAGGGATTGATAATTGTCAGTGTTCACATATAATTGTGTTCTGAACTTTTCTGTTAATTTGAAGGTCTATGTAAATAATTGTAGTTATAACCTTTTCTCAGATAATTTGTCCAGACGATATAATAAATAAATTTACATATTAAAGCTCACAGCGCAAACTTCTTCAAGCTTCAAAACTGCAAGTCTGAGGCACCGCACCGCGGCTCACTTGAGCATAATTTAGCGGCAGCGCGCCGATTTCATTATAACAAATGCTTGTATAGTTAGCGAACTACGAGTTACTTAACAAGACCCACTTTGAAGTCGATTTCAAACTAAATTTAAAGGTACTTATAACTTGTACTTGAATGAAGGTAAAAAGACGAATTAATTTTATTCACTTTTATTTTTTATAAAATATAAAACCTAAGCTGATCCCACTGATATCAAGGAACATCTGAATAAAAAATTTATGACAACTCTATCTTTCCAAAGAGGTTATGGCCTGTGTTTATGGTGCCTCAAACCAAAAAATATGGTGTCAAATGAGTTGTGCGTTCCTGAGGCCTTATTATTGTGTTCTTCATTCATCAAATCCATTCCTTATAGGGGAAGGATGATATTTGATGGAGGACGGCAAGCATAGGAGGAGGAAATATCCTCTTTCTGTGCGTCTCCTCCTCCATCGGTTAAAAGTAGGCAACGCATCTGCAATTGTAAATGCCTACGTGCTTCGCCATTACGGCGAGTTGAGGTAGCCGCTAGCTCGTTTGCACCTTATAAAATATTTAAAAAATGTATTCATACGTGTGTTTCGTCAGTGGAAACGTCGTATTATAGTAAGTACAGACCTTGTTGTAGGGGTAGGACTGTCGATGGTGTACTCGTCCGTTCTGGGGAGCGTGGGCTGGCTTCTTGAACTCGCTCTCCCGCCGGGACGGGTGACCTGGACAACAAAACATTACCTTATTAGCCTACTAAGAACTACTAATATCTTAGTTAACTTATTAATCGTGGGTTTCTGACCATAATCTCCGTTTCAAAATATTGTTATATGTATTTTCGAAGATAATGACAATAATTTTATACAGAGATTTTAGTCTCAGAAACCAAGGGTAAGAAAATTGTTATACATGTTTTAGGGTTCCGTACCTCATAGGGAAAAAACGGAACCCTTATAGGATCACTTTGTTGTTCGTCCGTCTGTCTGTAAAGACCCCTTTTTTAACAATATAATTTAGATCACATAGAATACGGTCTGTAATAGCTTATGGCGTATTTCATCCCGGAAAAATGAACGGTTCTCTTGTGGTAGAGATGTTTCAGATTTTTTTTCGATACACTTAAGTCTTATAATCTTAGTTACAATTTTAATTAAGCAATTTGTTCTTTTTAATATTCAAATCGCTTTAACATTAGATATATTAATAGAAATAAGCTTATCCATAGGTCGGATAAAGTCGCAGGATCATAAGGTGGTTTAAGGTTCGTATAACTGTGCGGGGGGAGCCCCCACCCCGTGTCCCCGGGGACTCCACGAGGGGGAGTTAGGGTAGGTGTTTAGCTGGTTTATGGAGATTGCGAACGGGACAAAGGAGCAGAGCTACCTACGATACGCCTAGATTGCGGATGAAATATAAACGTGACGGCTTTTTTAAATAGCTTTTGCTGTTTCTAATGTTTAAAGAACTTTATAGATCAATATGTTACAAAATATATTTTATCTGTAGAATGCTACGTGTATCATAAAAAAATGCATATTAAAATGTTATGTTTTAGAATTGACTCGCTGTCACCCGCGACTCCGTCCGCGCGGGAATAAAATAAGCTATTGGTCGCAGCGTAATATTATATAGACTAAAGCATTCCTTTATAAATGGATTATCCAACAAAAAAAGAATTTTTAAAATCGGACCAGTAGTTCCTGAGATTAGCGCGTTTAAATAAACAAACTCTTCCGCTTATAATATAAGTATAGATTAGTGATTCCGTAAATAGGAATCGAAATAATTGTGTCGTATTTAAACTGAAAATTATGATTTTTAAAAAAATTACATAAGTATTTTGGGTTCACAATAACACAGGCGATACGAGAGGTAATATTAAGTTCAGTTTTTTTCTTGTTTATGGCTCTCACTTATAGCCGTTGTGGCCAGTGTCGTATAAGGATAATCTGACCAATAGGCTTTTAGTCAGGAGTCAATCGAGCATTTGATAATCTTTATTGGATTAAAAACTAAACTCAGGTTCGGTAAGCATTTAATTCCATGTTTCTGTAATGCCAAAGCGACCGCAATTATTGGAATATAGGTTTACCATTAAAACTATTAGACTTTTTTTGTAATCTTGTGATTGAATTCTTACGACTAAAAAGTCCTTTTAGGTACTAAAAGAAAGTCGTGTTAGTTACAGTATTTATAACTCAAGAACGGCTTTACCGATATAGCTGAAAATTGGTGAGGAGGTAGCTTAGAGCCAGCAGACGGACATAGGATAATATTTATTATTATTTTTTCGAATTTATGCCTTGAAGAGTTGCTTTCTATTTAACTTACTAATATTATAAATGCGAATGTTTAGATGGATGTGATGTGGATGGATGGATGGGTTGGCTACACTAATTAAGGTTTTTTATATATCCACGCGGACGGAGTCGCGGTGAACAGCTAGTAAGAAATATAATTTGTGAATACTTTAAAGCGCCTATAAAATAAACAATGAAAATAATAATTATCTTTTACTAAGCACTAAACTTACTATGTGATTATTCGAAAATAAATAACGTACCCAGTTATTAAATAATAAATGTAGATTGATTGTAGATTTTCTTCTATTTAATAAAATTCACATTTTTTTTATTAAAAATATAAGCAGATTTTTTGTTAATTTACTAATATTTCTTTTACCAATCCAACTAAGCTCTAGGCTTGTGCTGGTATATGGTTTACGACAATAGTCGAATGGCGGAATTCGAACCCCCGACCTCGTGATCGGAAATCCGTATCCTTAACCATTAGGCTATTGACGCTTCAAATAAGATACACAATCCCTTTACTATATTTTTACTTGTTTTTGTTTACAGATAAAAATAATTTCTTGCTTATCGAGTATGTATTAAGCATAGAAAATAATTCAGTTTTTTCTTAGGGCTCCAAGTTATTGGCAAAACGTGTCTTGAAAAAATATTATCTTATGTTTTATGCACAACGTTGAAGTCAGTTGGTGTGAATCTAACACGGTTTTTATATTACATTACAAATAAGTGTTTGTTTTTAATTTGTAATTCAATGAACAAGCGTTTTACAAGCGATTCAGTCTCTCTTATAAAGAAAGCAATAAATAATATAAAAAATTGTGCTAAAACAGCAATTTACCACTAACTAAGAACTCGAATAAAAGTAAAACAAATTATTGTACAATATACAGAATATCATATACGTTTATGTTAATATTATGAAATGATAAAAACAACTTAACATAAGGTAACTAGCTGTCGCTCTGTCCACATGGCAATAAAACTTAATTAGTCTATATGTTCTTCCACAATATGTTTACATATGTGCCAAATCTCTTAAAGACCCATTGAGTCGTTCTGGAGATACCTTTTAACAAATATCCATCTAAATATTCGCATTTATAATATTAGTTAGATAAAAAAATAAATTTAAACAATGAGTATATAAGGTAATGAGGTAAATATACTTCGTAAGTTTCTCAATCTTATATACATGTATTTTAATATAAGCGATAGTCATAAAAAATATCGACGATATGAAAAAGGGATAAAAATGTTTATAAAAGAATTTTATGCGTAACTATGAGAGACCACAGAACGTTAAAGCGCCGTCTAGCGGCGAACATTAAAGATTTACTTTGCAGGTGTTTCGCACAGGTGATGTAGAAATAAACCGCAATCGTTTTTTATTTTAAAAGAATATTAAACCTTTGAAGAATATTTTTATATTCCAATCAAGAATTTTTTATCTAAAGAGATTTTAAACTGTGTGTTACATCTTAATATTTATAAACTTATTGTTAATAACTTCATTGTTAATATTACAATTACATGTATTTACGCAAAAAAAACAGATATTTTACACCATGACAACTATAATAAAATATTAATCTATCTATAGAGGACTTAATCAAGTTTTTAAGATAAATAATTGGTAAAGCTGATTAACGGTGGGTTTCTGAGACTAAAATCCCTGTTTAAAACATATTATTATCACTGTTTAGTCAAAGATGATGACAGGGATGACAATATATTTTATGCACAGACTCCAATCTTAGAAACCAACGGTAACAGAGTTATCCTTAGCAAATATATCTTCTCTTCTTTATATTTCGTCGATATATCGACCATCAAAAACACGTATAGCACAATGTCAGAAACTATGGGTCATTGTCCGTTAAATAAACCAACCACATCAAAGTCAAATCGAGAAAACAGTGACCAATGATTTATAATAAATTAATAAATTTACATTCATCTTGTTTCTTATCTTACGTAAACTTATCGCCTACTGTATCATACTAGAGGCAATTGCAAAGCTATTGTTCGGGATCAATCAATCAACATTTAGTTTAAATCTTATTATCTGTACAATGTAATCTTCCCCAACACAACTTGTATAATGTTAAATATTAAAATTGTACTTCACCACCACATCACCATCAGCCCAATATACGTCCCCACCGAAATGCTCGGAGCCTACCCTAAGTTAAGGGTGATTAGGCCATAGTCAAAAACGCAGGCCAAGTGCGGATTGGTTGACTTCTCACATATCTTTGAATTTCTTCTCAGATATGTGCAGGTTGCATCACGATGTTTTCCTTCAACGTAACAAAATTTAAATTTTACTTATTATATTAATATTGTGCATTGTCTTACAATGTTCATTTAGTCAATATTTAAAAAAAATAAGCATACCAAAAGGGAAGAACTTTTTGAATCATCCAGCTTTTTGGGCGTCGGTCGGTGGATTCAGAAATTAATACGATTTATAAAGATGCTTTTGAAATTTGAATAAAAATACATATATAGTGTTGCAAACGATAGAGTGACGTCATTTAAAACTGTTGATTCATTGTTGGTGTTCACCTGGATAAGTGGCAATGATTGATAACAGAGCGTTCAATCGCTTCCAACACGTATATTCGTAACACAAAAAAATGTGATTTTTCTGGAGTCCAGTTTATGCAATACTACAAAACTGTTGTAATTATTATACAACATTGAAGATTTAATGATTTAAACAACATATATTAAAAAATTAAATTTCAATAAAGGTCTTGTTTAGCAGTACAAACACAAAAAAATATTTTGCAAAACAAACAAGTTATGACCTTAACGTAGGATTCTTCGATATAACGACAACTGCGAGTGAAAATCCGCACTACCCTAGGTTGGACATCTGTATCGGGGGCAGGGGTGAGGGAGCGGGAGGGGTATGGACAACAATGGCGTCGTCTGGGCAACAACATTCGCACACCTGCGGCCGTTGACACGTGCGCGCGAGCCGCAAACCACGCAAAACTCACTCAAGCCCGCAGCCGCCGATCTACATGACACATTGCTTTTATTTAACAAAACAAAACTTCTTAATTGGAAATTCAAAAGTATACTAAGCTACAGCCAAATCTGTATTTATTTAGTAAATCAAATTTTAACTCCACTACTGTTCATACAATATTAGGCAATATAAAGGAAGAGTGATATGTCGATAATAAAGTTGTCTTCTGACCATTCGTTAGACGTATTTCATGTACTTCAGGCTTATTAACTGCATGGAAATTATGGTCTTACGTATTCGTCCGTTTTAAATCTATTGCAAACAAAAGTCGGAAATAAGGCTTATAAAAGGTGTTGCAAAAACAATGCACATTATAAAAGGTGTTCAACACATGCGCAGGTTGAAGACCTTACGTGTTAATGACATCTAT